TTGCCATTTTTTCATAGAGGCTAAAAGAATCAAATCTGCTCAAGACCTCTGATATTGTTGGTGTTTGTGTTTGTTTCCATTTATGAGCAATGGTCATTTTTGTTGCTGTTAAGCAATGAATAATCATATATATTGCTTCTTCCCTAAGTTGTGTAGGGAATATATGGAGTAAAAAACATTCTGGTCTGAATGGAATAGTGACCTTCAGTGCTATCCTAAAAAAAAATTCTATATTCTCCCATAGTTTAGTAATGCTCAGGCAAAGCCAAAAGATATTAAGTATAGACCCCTCATGTTTTAAACAACGCCAGCATAAGTTGCTCATCCCTGGGTAAATATGTGGTAATTTGGCTGGCACCCAAAACCATCGCATAATAATTTTGCAGTAAGTTTCCCAGTGATTAAGACTACAGGAAACCTCTTTAGTTTTCCTTTGTGCCTGAAACCAAGTTATTAGCAGGAATGATTCCCCTAAATCGCTTTCCCATTTTAGAACATATTTCTGTTTCTTAGGTTTCTCCTGTGTTAGTAGAGTATTATAACAAAAAAACAATGCTTTGCTGCTAGGTAATTTCCTCATGCATTTTAGTGCAAACGGTTCTAGTGACTGAATCTCTTTAATTTTGTTTGTGTATAGAATATTCCTAATCCTTAGATATGTGAATATTTCTCTGGGTGGTAGGGAGTACTCTTTAACCTGTTCGAGAAATGATTTGGCACCTGAGCCATTAAGTAATGACCGTTTATGGCATACACCTAGCTGTGTCCAAGGTTCCAACTGCAGGTCTGTTGTAAAAACAGTCAGAGTCTGCAGACGTGCAACAAATAATAAATCTTGTCCTACTGAAAGTTTAAGAATTGACTCTCTCCATATATGGAGAAGAGTTTTTTTGTGGTTGGGAACAACTCTGTTGCCTTATTAGGTACTATATTCCCAGACTACAGTGCGAACGATAATGAGCCTTGTAAAAACCATGCACTTTCTAGTGCCAGCCACAATGGAGGAGAAACCCTTTCAAGTAATGAAAGACCTTGAGCAAGTAGTGTAGCCTTATAATAAGTTTTGACATTTGGAACACCTAAACCACCTTTAGCAAATGGAGGCCAAAGCTGTTCTTGTGCGATTCGTGGGGGTTTCCTTTTCCAGATATGTGCATTGATAAGTGCCTGGAACTTCCGAAGTATGGTATTTGGAATGGTAATTGGAAATGTCCGAAAAAGATATAGGATATGGGGCAGAATCATCATTTTTATTGTTTGTATACGACCCAACCAGGATATTTCTTTATTTTCCCATGTTTTGAGTTGGTGGTCTAATTTATGTATTAATGGTAGATGGTTTTCTTTTATTATCAGCGTTTGTGTCATGGGAAGTTTGATACCTTAATAGGATATGGATGTTTTGCGCCAGTCAAATGGGTATAATGATTTTAAGCGTTGTATAGTAGCTGTTGAGAGCCCTAATACCAATGCCTGTGATATTTTTGAATTATTTTTATAATGACAATTGGCCATACCTTTCTAGCGTGCTCAATAATTAAGGTATTGATGATTCTGGGTCTGATAAAAATAATAGGACCTCATCCGCAAAAAGAGCGATTTTTAAATCCCCTATTGGGGTATTTAAACCTTTGATTCCTTTCTGGACTTTAATGTGTCTTACTAGGGGTTCCATGCAGAAAATGAAAATCAGTGGGGATAGTGGGCATCCTTGTCTGAATCCATTTGTAATTTGAAATGATCTGGACAAAAATCCAGAGTTATATATTTTGGCCACAGGATTAGAATAAAGAACCCTTATATTACTCAAAAAAGCTAGGGGGAACCCCATTCTTAGCAATACTTCCTGCATATAAGACCAGTTTAGTCGATCAAACGCTTTCTCTGCATCGAGGGCTAATAATAAACCCTTCTGTTTGCTGACTTGTGCCCAAGTGATTACATTTAAAAAATGGCGGGTATTGTCTCCCGGTTCTCTTGATTGCTCCAGTGAAATCAAATCTGTTAACATAGGTTTTATTCGTGTAGCCAAAATTTTTGCATATAGTTTTATGTCTGTATTTAGTAGAGAAATCGGTCTTAAATTAACACATTCATTGGGCACTTTACCTGGTTTGGGTAAAGTAATAATATGGGCCAAAAGCATTTCTTCCGGTAAAGACCCAGCAACCTTAAAATAATTAAATACATTTGTAAGATATGGTGTAAGTTGAGCTTCAAAAATTACATAAAAATTATTTGGAAACCCATCTGGGCCCGGAGCTTTATTTTTGGGAAGTGTGTATATATCGCCTTTCTTACTTCATCTTCAGAAAACTGTTCAGAAAGAACATTACATTGTTGAGTAGTTAATCTAGGCAAATTAAAGTCATTAAGGAAAGCGGATATTTCATCTTTTGAAGGCTGGTACGTATTTATGTCCAGCCTTAAATTATATAATTTTTGGTAAAAGGAGCCCAACTCCTCACTATATTTTGCGGATTGTACAATTTTATGCTGTTTGAATCTATTAAGAATGGAATTTTAGTCTGTAAATATTGGGACTTTAATTTGCTTGCTAATAATTTACCAGCCTTATTGCCCTGCGAATAATATGTCTGTTTAAGTTTCCTTAATTGTCTCTCTATTATATTTACGGACATCTCTTGTATTTCTTGTTTGATTTTAGCTATCTGTTTAGATATTTTTTTAGTGGGGTTCATTTTATTTGCTTTATCTAATTCACTAAGTTTGTTTAGGAGACTTTCTTTATCTGACGATATCTTTCTTTTCTGTATTGAGCCTGCTTGAATAAATAACCCTCTCAGGACCGCCTTAAGGGTCATCCATTTTATTGCAGTGCTTGAAGTATCAAAGAGATGATCATTATGAAAAGACCTAATTGCCGTGCTTATTTGGGAAACTAGATTTGTTTGATTTAAGAGAGATTCATTAAGGCGCCATGTGCTTATACCCCTTGCTGCGAATTGTGCTCTAAAGGTGGTGACAACTGGTGCATGATCAGACCAAACCCTAGTACCTATTTTTATCTCAGAGACATTCATTAATGTTAATTTATCCACTAGGCACATGTCTATCCGAGAGTAGGTGCTATCTACATTTGAAAAAAAGGTATAATCTTTATCGTTTGGGTATAAACTACCCCATGTATCGTATAGATCATGCAAATTAATGAGTTTAGAAAATTTTGAACTCAACAGGGTGGTCTGGTGTAACGGATGTTTACCATTGCTCCTCTTTATGTCCATGTTTGGATCCAATATGCAGTTAAAATCACTGCATATTATAGTATGACCTTTGCGAAGAGTTACGATTTTAGAAAATGTTCTACTCAAAAAAGAAATTTGTGACTTATTAGGGGCATATATCAAAGCAACTGTTAATTGTATTCCATTTAAGTTTCCTACCACAACTAGTAGCCTCCCTAGCTTGTCCCTATATATTAAATCCTGTTTAAATATCCAATCCTGATGGAACATTATAGAGACCTCTTTTGATTTGTGAGGTGAGAAAGCGTGGTAAATGTGTGGGTATTTAATGGGTTTAAAGGTAGGAGGGTTCCTTGTACAAAAGTGTGTTTCTTGAAAGCATATTATTGATGCTTTGGAGTTATTTATCTCCTCTAATGCTGCTCGTCTCTTAAACAGGCTATTTAACCCGTTGACATTCATAGACATACAATTAAAATATTGAGCCATATTAAGAAAAAATTAATTGTTAGCTTTAACTTGTAATAGACAGGCATATCTCTCTGAATGTAGGTTCTCTTATGTTTAATTTGACAAGGAGATTTATCTTTCCTCTTTTATTTATTTTCCTTTTCCCCCTTCCCCTCTCTTTCCCCTCCCATTTCCCTTTCCCTTTTCTCTCTTTCCTTCCTTTATCTCCCTTTTAATGCACAAATTCATTGCCCTCATAGACCTAATAAGAAATCTAATAAAAACTAAAAAAAAAAAAATAGTTAAAAAGAATAAACAAGAAAATAATTTAAGTTGGGGAGAAAAAGAAAAAAAAATATTTACAATAATTCTCAAATTTGAGAATAATTTTGGGATCGCATTGGGAAACATCCCAATAAGCGTCCCTAGGCGGGGTTGTGTGGAACGGTCCCATTCCTGAGCATTTAATCTATTCCAACATTGTTATTTGTCGCCTTTAATATCTATTAATCCTAATGCCTGCTTTTTAGTGATTTACATCGCTGACAGTTATCTAAATCACCTCTTTCAACTTCCAAATTATTGAAAAAATACAGATGGGGATAAAAATAGAAATAGCTCCCAACATCTTGTGCATCATATTATCTTGTCTGCTTAACAATATTACA